GGGGGGGGGGGGGGGGGGGGCCTGGACCAAGCAGGACTCGCACAGACCTGGTTTTCCCTGGCATTGACTGAAGGGTGGCCAGGGTGAAGGGCATCTGGCACAGGGAGCTGGCTCTGAGAGCGTGGGGACGGAGGTTCCGTTCTTACGCGGGAAGCTGGGGTGCCACCGCAGCAGGTCATCAAGAGATCAGTTACTAGTTAAAGTGACGTTTTAGAAGAGACTTCACGAGTGAGAGGGAGACTGCTCCCACCACCATCCCAGGACAACACTGCATCCCCACATGAGCCAGCTACGCGCCACGGTTCCACACGTGCCCCGCATGTTCAGCTGGGCTCCGGTGTGGTGCTGCCGCCGTGCGGCCCAGCCCCAGGAGCCCTGTGCTGTGGATCCCTGGGATGCGGGCGCAGCAGTGTGAGGGCACAGCTGGGACAGCGCAGCAGGCTGGGTTGGAGTGTCTGGAGAGAAGTGCAGCGAGCCCTTAAACTAAGTGTGCCCGAGGGTGGGCAGAGGCGGTGAGGACTTTATCGAGGTGCAATTTCAGCACGTTTGCTGCTCGAAGATGTGTCCTGGGGACTGTTGAACAGGCAAGCGTGAGAGTCCAGGTATTGTCCCCAAACTCCCGGGCCCTCAGGGACAGCACCTCGGAAGCCATCGAGAGATCATGACATGCAAGTCAGGATTTCTGTTTTCATCAGAATGAGCAGTCAGCTCTGTCCTCGTGACCGTGTGCTGTCGTCTGTACGATGAGGCGCACTCCTCCAGCAGAGCTCCCAGGGGGTTCTGGTCAGCCACGCCCCGCGCTGCTGCTCACGCCCGCACTAACAGCTAACCAGGCTTGGCGTGCTGCTCTCTGTCCGAAGCCCCACTCTGGCTTGACGCTCACCTTCTCTGTGGCATTTAACCTAAGGTCGGTCTCCGCTGTTCTCTCTCCCTCCGCCTCAGATCCCTTCTTTCTCTGTGCCCACCAGGTGCGTTTCTCCTGGTCTGGCCCCGAGTTTGTGAGCAGAGAGCAGTGTCATCAGGCCGGCCGTCAGCAGTCGACGGCTGTCGCCCGGGTCCGGTGTGTGTCAGGGTGGCGGGCTCACCTCTGTTCCACAGAGAGCAAGCAGAGGGTGCAGGGAGGAGCTGGGTGAGGGATTAGGCAGCAAGTGCTCACCGAGCTCGCCCCGGGCCAGTGCGTGCCGCCGCTCCACACCGCAGCATCCCCTCCACGCTGCTTCTGGGATGAACCTGAGCCACCCACGTCCCGTGGTTCTCTTGCCCATTCCGACCTCTGTGATTGGGACCTCTCTGTCGACTTTCGATGCTGATGACATTAAACTGCATGCCTTTTATTAAGCTCTAAGGTCTACCCAAAGTCAAGTGCTCCTCGTTTTTGAGTGGCATGCTGCCCACTGCCTTTTTAGGAGAACGCTTTCTTCAGCTTTTCAGCCTCGTTTCCTGGGGTAAGATCACTTCGCAGTTAGCGTTCTGCTCTACTCAGGGTCATGAAGTACGGTGGAGTGGTGTTGGGGACGCGGCGGTGAGTCGGCCTGGCCCCGGAGCCCGCCCCGTGCCGGCCGAGAGGGCAGGCCTAGTTGGTACTGTCTCCAGGATGCCGCCCAGGGACCAAGGCCGTACTGTGCGTGTCACTGACTGAGTGTGTGACGACCCGTTCTAAATGCGGAATCTTTCCTAGGTGTGCCTTGCAATAGCTCATTACTCCCAGCCAGCAGACCTCCAGCTACTCTTTGCATTTGAATATGTTGGGAAAAAATGCCACAACTCAGGTAAATATGAAGATACTAACCCTGACTAACTGTACACGTGTGAAGTGTGTCGTGTGTAAGAGAAGCCTCGAGCCCACGTGCGGTGGCCACTGTAGGGACAGCAGCTGTGTGAGTGTTGGAGAAGAGGGTGCCGGGTGCCGGGAGGGCCCTTCTCAGAGGCCCAGGGAGGACCCTGCCGACAGGCAGCTGGGAACACGCTGCTCAGGGCTGTGTGGGGCTCTTCGCCCCCAGTCCCTGCTTATCCCTATGAACGGAGGAGCTAAGGCAATCTGACCTTTTAAGAGCAGTGGCCAGCAGGTGGCGTTTGGTTGGGTCATTGGACTCTTATGTGGGTGACCGTGGTTTGAGTCCCTGACCCAGCAACTTGAAACTCAATGCTGGGTGTGCGTGCCCAAAATCCAGAGAGGATAATGGAGGAGAAGGGATTGAGGTGTGGCCATCCCCTGGGGGGTGATTTCTTCCTTTCTGTTTCTCTGTCTCCCTGGCAAGTACACATGCCCTATAGCAAAAATCTCTTAATAAAACAGTGGCCAGAAGGTGACAGATAGCTGAGAGTGTAATCCTTTCTGGCAAGCTGGGGTCTCACACAAAAGTGAGGTGGTTACAAACTTTTAGCAGGGGCCAGTGGCGGCCAGCAGTCAAGGCAGCTGGTCTCACATGACTGACTGCACATTTAGTCCCAGGCCTGGCAGCTTGAAAGACACGCCAGGCACATGTGTGTGCCCCAATCCTGAGAGGAAAGTGGCGGAGGCGGGACTGCAGCATGGCCACCCCGGGGCGTTTTCTCACTCCTCCTCCTCTTGGTGTGTCTGCAGTGGGTAAGCACGCACACACCCCATAGCAGAAAAATCTTCGCGCAGACCTCGTGAGGATCCTCAGAATACCGGCTTTCTGCTTCCGAGTAAGACCAGTTCAGGGAAGCGGGTGTCTGTCCAGAGGACTCTGGGCAGGCTTTGTGGGAGTGTTCATGTGCAGACACTTGTTTGTCTGCCTCAGCCGTAGCATCACTGAGGGAGACTCAGTCTCCCTCACGTACATCGAGATTCCACCCCACGAAGCCGTGGCCGCTTCTCATGAGAGGGTAGGGCAGAGCACACGGCGCGTCCTGCCTGCCGGCCCTCAGTGTGCACTCACGGTTCACAGGGGGCCTCTGCGCCCAGCTGGTCTGGGCCTTCTCAGTTGTCGTGACTGTGGGAGCACATCCCATGTCACGTGTGGTAAACACAGCGGCCCTGGGGTCACTGTGGTGGCAGTACAAGAGGTGACAAGCACTGATGCCCAGGGTGGAGGTGTGGGATGTGCAGAGCGGCACTATCGCTGCAGAAATTGGGCGATGGCGGGATTTTCCACCTAACTTTTCATTACAACGTGTGCCAGTTGTAACCTGGGCTTGAATAGTAAAGTTCTACAGTGTATTTCTTCATACGAACTAATTCACAGTGGTGCAAAGGCATTTTAGACCCTGTACCACTGGCCAGGTAGGGGTGCCTGCGAGGCGTCTCTAGGCTGCAGAGGTTACCTGCAGTGAGGTCTTGTGCAGCAGGGAGGCCCGGGACCGAGCGTCTGCTCCCACTCACAGCTGGCCACGAGGAGCTCTGGCCTTCCCCGCAGGTCACCCGCCGGGGTGGCTCTGCAGTGTCAGCTCTGGCCTTCTGTGACTGTCAGCACATGGGCTCTGCGGCATGGCCAGTCCTGGCTCCGACGCCTGCCGGGGGACTTGTGGCATTTTCCTGTGCTCGTTCCTGTCGGTGTCTTGGGCTTGTGATCGGCTTGACAGTTTAACAGCCATAGCTCTTCTGCCAGGGGCTCTTCCATCAGCTATTCTCCCCACCCCGAGAGCTCGTCAGCACGGTTTGCCGATCAGTACTGGAACTCTCTCAGGGATGTTCATTTGTATTATCTCCTTCAGAGTCCCCCTTTCACAAGCACCCCACACACACCAGCCCACAGGCTTGCTGAGATTCCTCAAGGCAGCCTTCCTGGCCTTCCATGCTGTTCTGGAGACGTGGACGCGTCTTTAAGATGAAAAGAAGGCTGACAAGGCCACACGCCACAGTCAGAATTCACTGATTTGCGAGGGAAAGTTGCCCAGAGTACACTCCTGGGCTCCTGGGAATGCCTGGGCTCAGCGGCAGGGTTAAAGAAGTCCTCTTGCAGGTGGGCAGGCACCGGGCTGTTCCTATAGGTGAGACCTGAAGCTGGAGAACGTACCCTGTGGTCACCTAAGGGTCCTTAGCCAGCCGCGAGCGCTCCGGGGTGTCACGTCTGGCAGCACATGGCAGGAACCATCCCAGACCCTGCTGGGCGTGCCCGAGGTGCAGGGGAAGCCTGGCAGCCTGGGCCCTGCAGGGGCAGCGCACAGGCCCACAGGGATGGAGTGTGGGAGCAGCGGTTCTGCTTTACCCAGAGGGAGACCGCAAGGACTGTGTTCCTCGACCAGATGGGAGTGGGCAGACAGGGCCCCGAAACACAGACTTGCCTTCGTCACGCCATGGTAAGACATCAGGTCACGCCTCTGAACTCGCGAGGGGAGGCCCTGTGCAGCTGCCTGCACCCCGGTGTCTGCTGCTCACCTGCAACAGCCCCTGCTCCCGGGGCCATGTGGCATCTGAGCTGTAAGGCAACGCCACCCCGGAGGAGGCACACCTTCAGCGAGTCGCAGTTCAGATGCGCCCCTTTCCTCAGCACAGGCTTGGTGTCGGGCCACTTCAGAGCTGCATGGGCATTTGCGGGTTGTTGCTGCTCAGCTCTCTGGAGGCCCTCGCATGGCTGTGACTATGCGAACCTCTTGTCTCAGGGTTCCCTCACCAGCCCGGCATCACTCCGGGGCCTGTGGCAGCACCTGTGGGCTCTGTACTGTTGCCCTTGGCTGGCCGGCCTCCCTGAGCCTGTCTGCAGGGTCCGCAGGGCACAGGCGTGCTCTTCTCATGCTGACTCTAACCCCGTCCTTCCTGTCACTGGAGGCCATCCTGAGGGTCAGTGTGACCACTGAAGGGGAGTGTAGCCAGCCAGGGACAGTCAGCACCAGGCACACACAGTGGGTGCCTCCACCCAGGAGCCGGGAGCCGGTTGTCAGCCTCAGCTGGGGTGCAGTCAGGGAGGCCAATCTGCCCAGGCTTGCTTTGACAGGTGCCGCCACTCCCTCACTGGCCTGCTGGCCGGGCAGATTCCCAGACTGAGCATCTGCCCCACACTCCGTAACGAAGAGGACAGAGCACACGGAAGACCAAGCCCCATTGTCGAGACGTGTGCAGGGTTTGAACAAAAGCGGTGCGTAAAACAGCAAATACCGCAGGGTCCTGTGGGTGCCCCCCAGTGTTCAGAAACGTTTGTTGTGTTGTTAGTTAGATCTTCATGTGAAATTTAACCAGAGAAATCTCCTACACAGTAGCTCAGTTTGACCTAGCTCATCAAAGCTGCAGTAGAGGGACCAGCAGTTAGCGTAATGGCTATGTCGCTGGATTCCCACATAGTCTACCACAGTTCGAGTCCCGGACCCGGTGGCTTAAACTCACACCGGGCGTGTGTGCGTGTGTGCCCAAGATCCTGAGAGGAGAATGGAGGAGAAGGAATTGTGGCATGGCCATCCCTCCTGGGGGGCGATTTCTCTCTTTCTGTCTCTCTGTCTGTCTGGCGAGCGCACACACACTATAGCAAAAACCTCTAAAAAAAAAATGCATTGCAGACACAAAGTACATGAACTCCGAAGGCTCAGAGGGCTGCGCTGCTGGGCTCACCGGGGTACGCGGGCTGGCTCGTGGCCCTGTGGTGAAGGCAGAGCTCCACTCGGCCAGCTGTGCTCTTGGAGCCCCGGACCCAGTGACTTGAGAAACGTCCTGAGGGTGTGTGTGGCCAGGATGCGTGCAGGAGGAGTGGAGGGAAAAGGGTGGTGGGGTCACCATCCCTCCTGGGGGGTGCTTTCTCCTCACTCTGTCTGTCTAGCAAAAGTGAACACGTGTGTGTGTGACTTGACCTCTGCAGTGGTGGCCATGTGTTGTGGCCAGGGCCTTGGGCATGCTATGAGGAGCAGTGAGTTTAGCAGGCCTTCTGTTCACGGCTGTGAGCAGGTGTCATACGTTGAGGCCTCTGTCCTGTCTTCCTGGCCACTGTGGGTCG